GGCACTTGACCTCCGGTTCCGGGCTGTTCAGGATGGTCCCCCTCAAGCAGTCCCTGAGGATGGAGGGAAGAAGCACAGAACCCATTATCCTCACACTCAACCACTCCTAGAACGTCCACACAACTCTGATGCGGCCGCGAAGAACTTTGTACACTTGGACAATTTATAGAAGAAACTATTTGCAGCTGAGGTCGAAGTGTGGGGTCCTGGGTGCTCTGTGAGCTTGACGCTAGCACTGATGATGTTACCTAGATTGGTAATGAGACGTCTACAAGAAAACATTGAGCGAACAGAGAGCACCCCATAGTTGTCTCCTCCTCCTCTTCCTGCTCCTCCTCTCTGCAAACCCCACTCTCTTCTAGCACTGATGATGTTACCTAGATTGGTAATGAGACGTCTACAAGAAAACATTGAGCGAACAGAGAGCACCCCATAGTTGTCTCCTCCTCCTCTTCCTGCTCCTCCTCTCTGCAAACCCCACTCTCTTCTAGCACTGATGATGTTACCTAGATTGGTAATGAGACGTCTACAAGAAAACATTGAGCGAACAGAGAGCACCCCATAGTTGTCTCCTCCTCCTCTTCCTGCTCCTCCTCTCTGCAAACCCCACTCTCTTCTAGCACTGATGATGTTACCTAGATTGGTAATGAGACGTCTACAAGAAAACATTGAGCGAACAGAGAGCACCCCATAGTTGTCTCCTCCTCCTCTTCCTGCTCCTCCTCTCTGCAAACCCCACTCTCTTCTAGCACTGATGATGTTACCTAGATTGGTAATGAGACGTCTACAAGAAAACATTGAGCGAACAGAGAGCACCCCATAGTTGTCTCCTCCTCCTCTTCCTGCTCCTCCTCTCTGCAAACCCCACTCTCTTCTAGCACTGATGATGTTACCTAGATTGGTAATGAGACGTCTACAAGAAAACATTGAGCGAACAGAGAGCACCCCATAGTTGTCTCCTCCTCCTCTTCCTGCTCCTCCTCTCTGCAAACCCCACTCTCTTCTAGCACTGATGATGTTACCTAGATTGGTAATGAGACGTCTACAAGAAAACATTGAGCGAACAGAGAGCACCCCATAGTTGTCTCCTCCTCCTCTTCCTGCTCCTCCTCTCTGCAAACCCCACTCTCTTCTAGCACTGATGATGTTACCTAGATTGGTAATGAGACGTCTACAAGAAAACATTGAGCGAACAGAGAGCACCCCATAGTTGTCTCCTCCTCCTCTTCCTGCTCCTCCTCTCTGCAAACCCCACTCTCTTCTAGCACTGATGATGTTACCTAGATTGGTAATGAGACGTCTACAAGAAAACATTGAGCGAACAGAGAGCACCCCATAGTTGTCTCCTCCTCCTCTTCCTGCTCCTCCTCTCTGCAAACCCCACTCTCTTCTAGCACTGATGATGTTACCTAGATTGGTAATGAGACGTCTACAAGAAAACATTGAGCGAACAGAGAGCACCCCATAGTTGTCTCCTCCTCCTCTTCCTGCTCCTCCTCTCTGCAAACCCCACTCTCTTCTAGCACTGATGATGTTACCTAGATTGGTAATGAGACGTCTACAAGAAAACATTGAGCGAACAGAGAGCACCCCATAGTTGTCTCCTCCTCCTCTTCCTGCTCCTCCTCTCTGCAAACCCCACTCTCTTCTAGCACTGATGATGTTACCTAGATTGGTAATGAGACGTCTACAAGAAAACATTGAGCGAACAGAGAGCACCCCATAGTTGTCTCCTCCTCCTCTTCCTGCTCCTCCTCTCTGCAAACCCCACTCTCTTCTAGCACTGATGATGTTACCTAGATTGGTAATGAGACGTCTACAAGAAAACATTGAGCGAACAGAGAGCACCCCATAGTTGTCTCCTCCTCCTCTTCCTGCTCCTCCTCTCTGCAAACCCCACTCTCTTCTAGCACTGATGATGTTACCTAGATTGGTAATGAGACGTCTACAAGAAAACATTGAGCGAACAGAGAGCACCCCATAGTTGTCTCCTCCTCCTCTTCCTGCTCCTCCTCTCTGCAAACCCCACTCTCTTCTAGCACTGATGATGTTACCTAGATTGGTAATGAGACGTCTACAAGAAAACATTGAGCGAACAGAGAGCACCCCATAGTTGTCTCCTCCTCCTCTTCCTGCTCCTCCTCTCTGCAAACCCCACTCTCTTCTAGCACTGATGATGTTACCTAGATTGGTAATGAGACGTCTACAAGAAAACATTGAGCGAACAGAGAGCACCCCATAGTTGTCTCCTCCTCCTCTTCCTGCTCCTCCTCTCTGCAAACCCCACTCTCTTCTAGCACTGATGATGTTACCTAGATTGGTAATGAGACGTCTACAAGAAAACATTGAGCGAACAGAGAGCACCCCATAGTTGTCTCCTCCTCCTCTTCCTGCTCCTCCTCTCTGCAAACCCCACTCTCTTCTAGCACTGATGATGTTACCTAGATTGGTAATGAGACGTCTACAAGAAAACATTGAGCGAACAGAGAGCACCCCATAGTTGTCTCCTCCTCCTCTTCCTGCTCCTCCTCTCTGCAAACCCTACTCCATTTCAAGTTCATCTCCCAGTTAGCTATCATTCAAGAGAAATCTAAGAACAGAGATAGGAAGTAGCAGGTCCCATACTAGGGAGACAAGTTACGTAAAGCCACCATAGATGTCTCCTAAGACCATCAAGAGATCACCAAGGTAGGAAGTAGCAATTCCCATCTTAGGATGACCAGTTATACAAAGCCACCTTAGATGTCTCCTAAGACCATTGAAGATCACAAAGGGTAGAAACTAGCACTTCTCATGCTAAGGAGATCGGTTATGTAGACCTATCTTTGATGACTCCTAAGACCATCAAGAGATCACCAAGGTAGGAACTAGCGATTCCCATCCTAGGATGACCATTTATATAAACTCATCTTAGATGTCTCCTAAAAACTTGAAAGATCACAAAAGGTAGAAACTAGCACTTCTCATGCTAAGGAGATGGTTATGTAGACTCATCTTAGATGTCTCCTAAGACCTTCAAGAGATCACCAAGGTAGGAAGTAGCAATTCCCATCCTAGGATGACCATTTATACAAAGCCACCTTAGATGTCTCCTAAGACCATCAAGAGATCACCAAGGTAGGAAGTAGCACTTCTCATGCTAGGATGACCAGTTATACAAAGCCACCTTAGATGTCTCCTAAGACCATCAAGAGATCACCAAGGTAGGAAGTAGCACTTCTCATATTAAGGAGACCAGTTACGTAAAGCCACCTTAGATGTCTCCTAAGACCATCAAGAGATCACCAAGGTAGGAAGTAGCACTTCTCATGCTAGGATGACCAGTTATACAAAGCCACCTTAGATGTCTCCTAAGACCATCAAGAGATCACCAAGGTAGGAAGTAGCACTTCTCATGCTAGGATGACCAGTTATACAAAGCCACCTTAGATGTCTCCTAAGACCATCAAGAGATCACCAAGGTAGGAAGTAGCACTTCTCATGCTAGGATGACCAGTTATACAAAGCCACCTTAGATGTCTCCTAAGACCAT